TGTTTATAATATATACAATTAAATCAGAAGCTGGATTTTGTGGTGATACGTTTTCTTTTTGCTCCTATTGATTAAATCCTKGCCCCAGGCTTTACTGTCATCAACTTCAATATTGAGATTAACTTCAATGAGAAATTTTATTTTTCATTAGAAGATCTTTTTCTCATTTTAACACTATCTACTGATGCAGTGAAAGCAAGGGGAGAGTGGGATCTGTCAGTCCTTGTTTGATTGTTTTTARCTAATGAGCCTTTAAAGGGCTAAAGAACAGAACTGATGTATTCATATCCCAAAAGCAGATGTTGGAGAACAAAGAATCTTGTGTTTTTAATGTTCTTATCAAGGAAAGCTGGGATTTGGATGCCATTTTAGTGTCACTGTGACATTACAATGCTCCAGTCTTCAAGGTGGAGGGAAATCAAAAATCCAATGAATTTCTTTTTTAAAAAATAAATTCCATCCAATACTATACATCATTGTGAAACAAATATTTCAAAATTTATTTTTTTTACTTTAGGGTAGGCATGTTTATCACATATGTTCAATTACAACCAAAATTGTTTCTTGTGAAGCCATAATAATGAATTAGTGATTRTAATATTATTCAGTGTTTCTATTGCTTTGCTGTAATCTGGTGCTAAAAGCTATGTTTTGTTGATACTCTAAAGTATTTGGAAAWGTTTCTGATACCAAAGAAGTGTATGTCCCACTCAGAAAAACCAGTAAATTTTTTCATGTTATTTTATAAAGACATAGATGCCTATAGTTGTCATTTTGTTTCTCCTTTCCTCTATGTACACACACACAYAYAYACAYGAGGATGTTTGCATGTTTTCTGTAGAAAATTCAGCCCAWCTTTGTCCACATTAAATACATTTTATAACTAACTTTACAACCTAAATTCATCTTCTTCTGCAGTAGGAGTTATTTTATCAGGTGCACAATTACACTTGTCAGTCATTTTTTTTTGGACAATATTCTCAGAGTCTGAAGAGCTGTATATTGCAAGGGTATCTTGTTCCATGTAAAAGGATTTATCTTGTATTTCTTGACTTTYATTTCATGTCTTAATGTGGAGGAGTTCACTTTGGCAAAGCAGCCCTATGAGTTTCACAAAATATGCAGGAAGTTTCTCAAGGATAGAGAGAAATTTTATCCTTTATAGACCACAGCAGGTCTCAAACATCATCTACCAGATAATGGACAACTGCTGGTATGAGATATGGATGTATATCTGTGCATACAAACTGGAGAAAACAAAATAATAGGAGAAAACAAAATAATAGGAGTCACTAGCCGTCCTTTCTGATAGATGAACTGATGCTCATAATGAAAAATATCCTTTATAAAAGCCATTGCTTGCGGGTAATGCATCTAACACAGGACCTGTTTAATACAGGAAATGGGGCACAAAGGGAGGCTGGCTCCCTTCTTTTCAGAACAATGTATTTAAGTATAATGCCCTTCAACATTAATGAAATAAACAGGATGAGATTCTTCTCACTAATTGTAACAGTTTAAAAATTGTGTGCTGAGCTAAACTAACTGTGTAAATTCCTTCCACGACTACAGGACCATTACTGGTACCTCCCCATGGTCATTTGTCCTTTCTCACTTAGAGAAAAGGATTCTTATATTCTTCACGACAGAATATAAGATATTTTCCTTCCTGTRCAGAGATTTTAAACAGCAGACATAGAGGAAACCTCCAGCTTTATAGACAGCCAAGCCTRTGTGAAATAACCCTGCCCTTAGAAYGAGAGGGATGCTTTACCCCATCCATGACTCTTCCAGGAGCCCTAAGTSAAATGCTGATCATGCTCATTTTATTTTGAGATCTGCATCTTCTGTGCCAAAAATGATCCTGATTTACTGTTCCTCTTCACCTAAATTTTAATCATCTGTCTGTAGACTATGACTTGTTTCTCACCAGCAACAAAGAACTGTTTTGCACATTATTGATGACACCATGAAATGACTGTGATGTTCTCTTGGATTTTTTAATATAATTGTCAGAAAAATTAGTAAAGTGACTTATATTTGAAGAYATATTAATGCAAAGAAAGAAGATTAAACTATCACAACGTAAGATAGGTATAAAAAGTAATTTAAATTTCATTTACTGCCTGTGACTTTATTTCAGCATGCAGAACTTTGTAGCAACATCACTGTCTACGAATTTCTGCATGCTAAAATCAAGAAAAACTAATGTAAATCACAGTTCCTAAATTAATTTAAAATTAAATAACTATACCCATCATTTTTGCTTCATTTATCTACCAGAACAGTGCCCTACCTTTTATCACTRTTACCATTCTTTTGAGGCATTGAGAGAAGGCAACACAGGCTGAAAAATAAGATTCAGAAAGAGATGTCTGTGCATACTATCACCTGCCTGCTAAACATAAGCTGAACCTGAAATCTGCCAGACATCAGCCACCCCAATTATTCTGTATATTAGCGTTCTTCTCATTTAATCAGGGAGTTGACCAGGATGAATATGGAGAAAGCATTTATGACACTCTGTGGGTGACAGCATTTGGAAGGATACTGTGRAAGAATATAATTTATTTTGTTAGCATTTTTTCAAAAGACTTCTTAGACACTGAAACGTATATACCAATTATGTGCACTCCTTCAGTGCTTCCAAACTGTCATTATTTGGCCTTAACRGGAAATGTAAACAGGGAAATATATGCTTGGTAAGTTTTCTGATTATGCTAACTCATCTGAATGTGTTTTTTCTTCATAATCACTTGAAGCTGACACCTGAAGTTAAATTTAGAGCTACTGCAAGTGACAGCAACATAAATAGCTGCAGTCTCACTTTCAATTACTTAGAAATTACTACAGATAAAATATTATATCTGTTTTCTCTCCAGTAATATTAACTTCAGTTTTGGCCCTCAGGGTGTATATTTGATTTGGAATTCATTCTAAGCTGTATATTTAGGATATTTTCAATTTAGCAACATATGAGGCATCTGCTCAAGTGTTATTGCTTCCTGCTACAGGTAGAAATGAAGAAAATAAAGTTTTATGCAGAATTCTATAGTCATTGCCACAGTAAATGGTAAATTTGCTGATCTCTATAAAACTTGAGAAGCAAAAATTTAAAGATAAATGAAAATGCTATTAATATAATTGCTTAGCCAAATACTTTACTACCGAGGCACTGAAATTTGGCTTCTGATGTTAGTGCTTAAATTGGAGCACCCAACTTTCAAATGTGCACAGCACTACAAAAATTAATGCTAGCCTCAGCAAGATCCTGAGATAYCAGATACATCTGAAGCTACATAAGCATAACAAAGGTATCTAAAGTTAGACACTGACAGCTGTAAAATGCTGATCTAATGTGTATAAAGAGGTTTTAAAATCATTTCTGCAATAAATCCCTTTGTCTCTCCTGGTATCTGAGCTGGTTCAGCGTGTGATGCCACCACGAGTCCCAGTGATGTCTGCTTGCCCTTTCCCTGGCAGAGCTGGCCCAGGTCTAACAGGGACCCCTCTGCAGCTCCAGTTTGAGCTCATCTGAACCTCAGGAACMAGAAATGCAGGGTGCAGACGTGGCCCAGAGAAAGGGTCAGGAAGGAGTGCAGACACTGAGAGAGGAAGAGAGGGATGGCTGCCTGCACAGAAGATGTGAGATATGGGTSGGGCTAATGCATGCAGCTGATTTTTTTCATATAAACATTGTCTYTTTATTTMTATTCTTCMAAAATCCTGYAATTTTCTTTTAGTAGCTTTATGTGTTGACAATTCTCAATGGTGTTTTTCTTCATACATAGCACAGCTTTTAAAAATAATTGTATTGAATTTAAAGCTTTGTCATAATGAAAAAGTTAACAACAGATCTGAAGATGGCTGGCATGACTAATTACTTTGATTGTTTCCAGCTTTGACATTCCCTTTTTGTGTTGCTGCACAGTAAGCAGGAAGACTACAAATAGTTGAATTATTTATCCCAAAATTTCAGCTCAAATACTAAGCCAAAATTTTCACTCCAAATGAAACTTTTCACTTTCTCCACTGCTCCATCATCCATACCTTTGTCTACCTGATCTCTGAACACTTCTAAAGGAGGAGATTCCACAGCCTCTCCCAGAGTATGGGACAGGCAACCTGGTCCTGGGCTGCACTATCCTCCATGTGAACAGATTTTGTTTTTCAGGTGCAACCAGAATTTCCCAAGCCTCACTCTACTGCCCCTTGTATGTAACAGCACAATTGCATTTTTTGTATGCAGCATTTGTAATGCAGTATTTGTTACAGTGGAGGCAATGGCCAAGGTATTGGGAAAAAAAGAAACAAAACCAACATTGACTATTTAGTATTAAGGAAGTTTCCATTTTTAATGACAACATAAAAGAGATTTCTTTGTTGTTTTTTTTTTGAGGGAGCATGAACTATTTGGTCTCTACAATACTTATCAAGCAAACAGTTAGAAAAAATAACTTATAACTTCCTATAAACTTCCAGTGCTTGTTAGTCTTCATCCAGTATCCATTTTGCATTGATACAGATTTCTTGAAGGTGCAAAAATTGCAGTTATTTCATATTAAATAGAGTTCTTCATCATTAAGGTTCTTCTGATCATCAGGGTTTTTTCCTCACTGTCTTTAGAAACACTTTGGAGGTCTCCATCTAGAAAGATCGAGATGTTCTTCAGGAGTATATGAGTTATTTTTATGTGTGTCTTGGTCTRTATACAATTGTATACTTCCAAGCTTTTGCATCTCATTACAAAGGAAACAAAGAGAAGCTGGATGCAGCACACACATGAAAAACAGCACAAATGGTGTGTAATGTTATGCATGTAATTCACAGAAAAGCCATGCATGTTTTCTAGTTCCACGTAAAAAAGCAGATTTAGTTGTTATTGGCCATGAACCAGTAGATTAATGGTCATGCAGAAGACAATGTTTGATGATATCCAGAGTGCTTTGCTCCTTTGCTAGGCACTATTGCTAAAAGAGAAATTCAAAAACTCAGAAGCCCTTAGTGTACCCACACCTTTTAAAATGATGTTTGTGTTTCTTCAGCTGACTCAAAGCCCAGGTTGCTTCTTCCCTCTTCACCATAAGGGTTCACCTCTCCACCGTTTGATCCTGCTTCACCTCTACTTTGCTTTGCTCTCCTGTAACAGAAATTCATTTTATATTAGAAGGTCTTTGTTCTGTTCAAGTCCATCTGGATGCCCAGAATCCTTGACTGTAAATAATACTGTGTTTAATTGGAAATATTTATATAAAAGGAATTGCATTGGGTTTAAGAAGAATTGTAGCAAACCTACTATGTTCTTAGAAACCCTGCTAGTTTAGCATAGAATACCAAGAATTTTAACATAGAATACCAACCAAGCTTATACCAACAATATTGTTGTTAATGCAATAATATTTAAGGAAAATTTCATTGCTGCACAGCCTACAATAAAATTAAATAATAATAATATATTATAAATAAAACTGAAGGTGCTGGTGAATGTGGACAACTTTGCTGTTGGAGAAGGTACTGTGTTCCCAGTAAGACATCCCATCCTCCTTGCAGAGGGGCTGGCAGAAGCCTGGTCCCCTGTGGTCCCTTGTGGTCCCCTGTGGTTCCCTGTGGCACTAGGTAAACTGAGGATGATGAGGAAATTGCATTAAGCTGCCAAAGCTGCCATGTGCTGAGAGACAGTAGCTGAACCTTCAGCTGTCACTGTTTATAGGAGAGAGCTAATAAGCTTTCAATCCTTAACTTCTCCAGGTAAACTGGGCATCCTAATTTGTAAAAATCCTGTAAAAATGATTCAATTATTGGGACATTTTCCAGTGGTCATGATCACAGTGCCATAAAAATATTACTCACTTTTTGCGATCTCTTTGCCCGGTGATGATCAGGGCAATMGCTCCAATGACAACCAAACTAATGACCACCCCAAATACAATTAACCAGATGGTGACTGGGGGTTCATAGGGTGCTGCCAGGGTTGGAAGTATTCCCACAAACTCCAGCGTGTTATCATCCAGTCTGAAAGCCTCATTGATTCGTCCCCGAGACATCCTGCCATCAAATGCAAATTCAAAGAGTTTCACACATTATTTGGAAGGAAAGAAACAGTTTTCARTTGTTTTATAAATCTCCAAGCTTCCCCTGAGCTGCTCAGCTGCAAAGGCTGCAGAGGAGGTACTGCCACACCCATATTCCTCCTGGCACATGAGTGACAAGCACAGGAACTTAAACTCTTAACCTGCTGCAGCTCAACTGACATGTTCAGACACTGCATGGACTTTTAATCTTAACATTTATCAAATGAACTCCTGATCTCCTTCTTTCATTGTATTTTGCCCTTCATTCTCTTCACCATTTCTTTTTTCAGTTTTTCAGATATGGCACAAAAAACCACAGCTTTAACATCTCACCTGTTTTCCTCCTACAGTCTTACATAACTTTGGTTCGTGTGTTTTTCACTGCCCTGAAAACCCTTTCCCTGGTGAATCATCTATGTCTTGGTTTTCCCTAAATTTCCACATCTGCTATTGAGTGCTAACCCAAGAGTGACTTTCACAGCCATATTCTTCTCCCTTCATTCACCAGCAGTATCTCACTGCTTTTTCAACCCCATCTCATGGTGATACTGCTTTTAGATTTGTGCCCTCTTCATTTCCCACTGCACATTACCTATGATCTTCTGCAGAGTTGCAGTTTTACTTATCATTTTTATAGCAATGACTTACAGTGGTGTCACACCATGCTATAAAAGAGCAGTTCATTGACCTGTAAGTGGGAGCTAGCTCCTGCTCTGACTCCTGTATAATCAAATACATCTGGCTGTCTTTCTAGGGCACCATTATTCTGGTGTCCTTGTCAACAATAATTCTTGYTCTGACTTTTCACTGATGAGAGGAACAACACACGTGTGCTTGCACACACTGGTGCTGTATTCTGTGTTTCAGAATATAAAATAGTTCCTGTTAAAATTTGAGCAATTATATCTTTTGGCAAGGTATGATGCAATGAGATGTGTTTTGGCAATTTTACAAGCCCACTGGAGCATTTTACATTGGCTGTTGTCCAAGACACCATCTGATGGATGGACTGYTTTCTTTCTGTCATAATAGTTTTCATCCTAGTTTCTCTCATCCCAGTAGTTCCATTTTAACTGTAATATTGATTTCCTTGTCACTGCTTCTGCCTCAGATGACTTAAGGACTGCCCTCCCTTCCACCCTTTCATCTGGTTGTTTGGTTGTTTTTCTTTTTCCCGGAAAACAAAATCTCACCTGATGGCATTTTCCACATCAGCTTTGGGCACAACATCACTGATATTACCTGGCATGCTGACAGTAAGGTAGAAGGAGATCCTTTGAGTCTGTCCCCCGACATGAATGTCTGTAATTCTGAAGGAGAAACAGAAGAAAAGGTTATTTTTTTTTTGTTGTTGAGATGACATTAGCTTTAAATTCAGTGAACGGTTGTGTTTGATTGGCATTGCCAGGGGTTTAGTTTATGCTGGGGGAATGCTTTCTAGTGAAATCGGCTGGGAAGTGAAATCAATTTTCCTGCCAGAATTTCTTTTGCTATGTGCTAATTTTTGACATTAGCTGRAGAGTCTCCCTCATATCTAAGACAATCTTTGGTGTAATTTCCCATAGCACATAATCACTTGCAGAACAGTGAGTGTTTGGGGCTAGTCTCATCAGAGAGATGATGTATGAAGTACCAAATGGAAAAAATAAAAAAAGCTTTCCTCCTTATTTTCTGCTGAGAGTAAATTCTAGGTATTATGTGACGGATGTTCTATAAAGTAATATCTAATAGCTTCTGAACAGTATTGAAGATGCTTAATCAAAAGGGTTGTTTTTCTTACCAAAATGGTTTTCAGGTGAAAGATTTTATGTTTATAACTGAGCCTAGATAAGATTAGCAAATCTGTACCAAATTCTAGTGCTTTATCGTCAACAGGTTTATCTTTCCTTGGCCCAAAACCTCTTGGATTTTCAGTATCATACACATRCATTGCTAGAAATTTTAAATCAATGCACATTCCCTGATATTCCTATAGAGGTTTTGGGCACAAATTCTCAAGGTTCAGCTCCATCACTGACAAGCCATGGGAGACAAAACCTTCTTACCCAACTTTAGCACATCACTCCTAAACTCCAGGCTCTTGAGTGGAAACACACCCTGTACCCAAGCTGCCATCTTGCCTTTTGCAAACAGCTGATGTTTGACATCGTTTCTGTCACATTACATTTGACAGAAGGCACAATTAATTCCACCAGCTCATGCCATCAGCCAACCAGAAGCAATGGCTGGCACAACTAAGCAAGCCACTCACTGGAAATCAACATCTTGTTTCTTCTCCTCTGCGAAGTATTTCCTCATGGCGTAGGCRACGGATGACTTGAACAAGAAGAGCTCACTTTCATCCCATTCATACTGCAGAAACAGCAGAGAGAAATGCGTCAGAGAGGGCAAGTGATCTGACAATAAGAAATCCTTCTTAAGAGAAATAGCAATTGTAATGCTTGGCATGCACTTTGGTATTATTTATTTGTGCCAAGAGAGCACATCAGAACCCRACCCAAACCCTTCAGCTCTGTTAATCTGAGCACTGTGCAGGAGATAACCAAGGAGACATCCCTGCTGCCAGACATAATGCTGTCCCTCTGCAATCTCTGGCACCTTTACATGGCACTGCTGAAGATGCTGCAGTCCCAACACAACTCACTGCCTTACAGGGAGAAAAGGCATCAGTGAGGCTATTCCTACTAAATATTTTGTATTCTCTTTAAAAGTTTAAAGATTTAATAAATCAGATCTTGTTTTAATCCCATAACTTTATTTTCAGGGTGGCTAATTTTTTTGCTTGATGAGCTGGGATTTTTGTTTGGGGTCTGTTTTGGTAAAAAATTTTTTGCATCACTACTTCTGCAGCAAGCACATACTTGTTTTTCCCTGGATAATAGATAGGTGATATTAAAAAAAATGTATTGACTGTGTGCAGGCTTCTCCTGGCCTGCCTTATGAGTCCAAAGTTATTCGCAGTGGAAGTCAAAAATAGCTTCTCTGGGGCAGGATCCAAGAGCTGTTCAGGGGGCAAAAAGCAGTGCAGGAGGTGATAAAGCAGCCTGGTCTGTTGTGCAATAGCRAGCATGCACGAAGGAAAAATTCCCAACTGAACTCTGTGGCAATATCTTTTTATTCCCCTAAGGCATAGATTTGATTGTGTTTATGGTACCTGGGCAGGAAAGSCTATAAATGCTGTCAGTGATAGGCTTACACAGCTCCTGACTTTCTTGAGTATTATTCAGATGTGGAGAAGGCAGCTCTGTTGTAACAGGCTTTATAAAACCCAGCTGCATTTTTCAGCTGTTCATCTCTTGACACTGATATAAAATGAGAGATGTATAAATATCTATGAGGAAAACAGGGATAGACAGGAATAAACTTTCTAGCTGGGTCTGCTGCAATAGGACAAGGAGCAATGGTTTGAGACTAAAAGAGAGGTGATTTACTAGGAAGAAATTCTTTATGCTGAAGGGGATGAGGCTTTGGAACAAGTTGCCCAGAGAAGTGGTGGATACTCAGTCCCTAAAAGCATTCAAGRTCAGGCTGGGTGGGGCTTAGAGCTAGAACTGGATCTAGCTGAAGATGTCCCTGCTCATTGCAGCTGATCTTTAAAGGTCCCTCACAACCTGAGCTGTCCTGATTCTATCAATACAGGCAAGGAAAAAGCAGAAAGAACCCACTGCTGTCAGTCCATTCAGGACCACATCCCASGAAAGGCACAGGTGATCCAAAGCTGCTGCCATCAGAGCAGTCCCCATGGCATTTGGAGGGCAGAGGCTGTGCCTGCCCTGGCTGCTCCCATCAGGAAGGCTGAGACTGAGTTCCCTTATGAGGCAAATACCCCTCAGCTTTCTCCTGCTTGTACAGCCCTGCACTGAAGCAGCTCTTGTTACTGCTGCTGCCTCCGGCAGCTGGCACTGTTCACTACCACAGCTAAGACGCTGCTGT